GACTCACGGGTGTCATAGATTATAACCATAAAGCAGACACAGGCACAACAGGTCATCTTTAATGCCATACTGTGGAACATTCCAGAAAAACAAATGATATCTATGGGCCCGGTCAAGCAGAAGTAAACAGCAAGGCCAAAAATTCAAGTTAATGCATCTGATATAAAAATGTTTTGAACAGATACATATGTACTCTAGTTTATGAAACTGTTGACCTTTTTTCTGTACCATTTTTGGTTCTAAAGTTCCATATGTTTTAAACAGACCATGTATGAAACATGGAACAAAAATAATTTCCCAAATTTCAAAGACCTGCAAATCATGTCAATAAATGGATGTATTTCATCATATCTTGTGTTATTCCATCTTTGAACTGTTGATGAAGGGACAGGATTTTTGAAAAAAAAAAATATGTAAAATGACAAAAATTTGCTTTGAAGGACTGACATATTTTATAGAAATAGTTTCCTTTCATTTTGAAGTAATATTAAAGTATTCGGAAGAAAAAAGCGATAAATTATGCAAAATCCTGCACCTTCTACTTGTTTGAACAATTTTCCCTCCGTTACCATGACCTTTCTTAATAAAAAATCTCATGAGTCAAAAAGTAAGAGGTTTTTCAACCTAATCTTGTACCATATGGTAGAAAACTATATGAAGCAAATATTCAAACCAGTTTGTTAAGGATATGGAAGTGAGAACCAAGAGTTATCACTGTTTGGATTTATTGCCCAAAAAGTGCTGCATATTTCATTCCCTCCGTTACCGACGTTTTTTAATTTTTTGTCAACAACTTGAAAGAATATCACAGGTTTAATTTTACCCTGTTGGAGTGTAACTCTTTCCTACATTTTGATACTTTACTTATTTCAATAGTCCCTCTAGTTTCTGAATAAGAGACATTTGAATGTAAAAAAAATCTGCCCCTGTTTCCCTCTGTTACTGCTTGACCAGACCCATATATGGAAAAAAGCAGGTGTTGACGCCACCAGAAAAGTTTGTTTTATTATTCCATATGTTTACCCGTCAGTGTTCAAAACAGACTGGTACTTTCTGTAAAAGCTTGTGAACTGCTAGTCTAGACGCAACATTTATTTTTACCTGGGCCAGCCTCATAACAACAGTTACCTCGAATCACTTCCTCACTGTCCTCAGACCCTCTCAGCGAGCGCAAAAACAAGCACAAACTAACTGCTGTGACTGCGGCCGACCTTTCACAAACGTCCGCTTGTCACTCACGCCTCTCTTGCGTTTGACCCCTTCTCTGCGTTTGACCCCCTCTCTGCGCTCATACCCGTCCCAGTCTGTTCTGTTTCCTCATTACTTTCAATTGCATCCGGTTGCATCACATTATCAGGATTATTTTGTTTACCCAGGCAGAGTTTGATGCTGTTTTTAAAGAGCCAGGAATAGCCGTTGCTGTGGTAACTGTTAATACGGAACCCAATTTGAGAGACGGAAAATGAGACGTGAACAACAAAACACACACACACATTTGATACGTTACATTCCCAAAGCCTGCGTTATTAAGGAGCCTCCCAAAGAAACAGCGAGACTCACAGCTCAGTACGGTTCAGTGACTCAGCTCTTATTTATATGAGGAAGTGTGCGAGCTGCCAGGAAGTTTCACATATTCTAGTACGAGACAGAAAGTTCCATTCAGGGACGCAACTGAATGATGATATCAGAATTAGAATCAGTTTTATTGCTGTTGTCAGTGAACAGAATTCACAAACGAGGAACTTGCAACTTGTCCTGGTGCAACATCAAACAGTGAATACTAATAAAGATAAACTATGATTAAATAAAAATAAGGGCATGCATGATAATAAAGTAAAAATAAGGCCCAATAGATTTTGAATATGTACAAAATATACAGTGACAAGATATATGTATTTATGTAGATGTTTAGTATCGTATTTTTTCGGATCATAAGGCGCAAAATCAATAATGTTGAAGTCTCTTGTCTATTTTCATAAATAAGGTGCACCAGATATAAGGAAACAAACCGACGACACTTGAGTCTGATCCTTAGTCCAGGCGTCCACCATCCATCAGCAGATCGTGGTGTAATTCGCCCGGCGTTGTCTCTCTGTCTCGGTGAATGTGGATTATGAATGTGAATGTGGGTGGATCATTTGTTTGTTTGTTTTTTATTTCCTGAGTAATAATGTGTTTAATTCAGCTTTGTGCATATTTGTTTACATTTTACAGAAACAAAACTTAAAACCACATGACTCATTTGCATAAATTATAAGCGCTGAAAAAAAAAAAAAACAGCTCACTTCTTGTGCGCTGATGCAGTTCAGCTTCTCCAGAATGCTTCAACAATCCATCAAGCGGAGCGGCTTCGTAGTTTACCAAAGTCATACTAAAAACATTTGGACAGTGTTTGAGCACCGTGTGTCACATAAAATCGTTTGAGGTCAGTAACACAACCAGAATTAATACATAAGATGCACCGGATTATAAGACTGACGATAAAGGATTTTAACTGCACTTTATAGTTCAAAAAATACTCTAGTTTAAAATGTGTCTCAGAGGGGGTGGTTAAAACCATATTCCTTCTGTCAGACTTTTTTTTTTTCAGTTAGCGGCGCCATTTTAAGGACTTTTAACCTGGAGCCACAGATATGCAGAATAAGATATCCATCCATCCATTTTCTTCCGCTTATCCGGGGCTGGGTTGTGGGGGCAGCAGTCTAAGCAGGGACTCCCAGACTTCCTTCACCCCAGACAAGTCCTCCAGCACTTCCGGGGGACCCCAAGTCGTTCCCAGGTCAGCCGAGAGACATAGTCCCTCCAGCGTGTCCTGGGTCTTCCCCGGGGCCTCCTCCTGGTGGAACATGCCCGGAACACCTCCCGAGGGAGGCGCCCAGGAGGCATCCGGAACAGATGCCCGAGCCACCTCAACTGGCTCCTCTCGACGTGGAGGAGCAGCGGCTCTACTCCGAGCTCCTCCTGTGTGACTGAGCTCCTCACCCTATCTCTAAGGGAGCACCCAGCCACCCTGTGAAGGAAACTCATTTCGAGCACTTGTATCCGCGATCTCGTCCTTTCGGTCATTACCATAGGTGAGAGTAGGAAAAGATCATGATAAATTCTCTTTCAACTTATCGTTCAATAAGTGAATGAAGGAACTATACTTTTTGATGGATCTATACTTTTTGATGGATCTATACTTTTTGGGGGTCATTGTTTATCTATGGTCCTTTTTCTTTGTAATAGTGGACTGTACAAAGACAAGATTTGCGGTGTAGAGGATTGAATAAATAACTTCTATGACTGATTACAGATACAAACTACCACATTCTCCTATTTATTTAGATTTAAGCATGTTGTTTTTTAACAGTGTACATTTAGCATAGTTTTTGGGGGTGATCCTGTGTTAGGGTTGGTTGCATAATTGGGTTTCAATATTATTGTTTATCTTCTATATTTTTTACAGCACTATATTGCACTTTATGACAGGTCTAATTAAGACAGTGGGTAATAAAGTAGAATAGCATGTAATTATGTTGGTTACATGTTCCTGTTATATAATGTGCTATAATAATAACATTATAAGTCTTGTCACTCACTTGTCACACAGCTGTGCAAAAGAACACATTTAAAAAATAAATAAATAAAAGAGACCTTATTGCTTTCCGTCACATGTTTGTGTCTGCAGCTGACAGTGTGACAGTAACAGAAACCCTTCAGTGTTCAGGTTCGATGTTGTTATAATCCTTTTAAGTAAGGGACAGTTTTTGTGTCCTTTGCCACTGCCACACATGGTGCCATCTTTATATAACGCGCTGAGTCTTTTAAACCTTTACTTTTCCCAACAATGCTACTGAGTTTGTGAAAACTTATGACATCAAGGTCACACAGAGTCAAGCGCATCGCCATGGAAACTGGAGCTGCTACTACACAAACCGTCTGTGTTATTGTCACCTTACTGTTGTGAGCCTCCTCTGTGCTGTTTAACCAGTAATAGATTGTAGATGTAGTGTTAAACTCTCAGTGTTTTAGCCTGTGTCAGAGCCTGATGAAGACAAACGACTCTTCCTCTGCTGGAGGATTCTGGACTGGGACAGAACTGCAGCTCCAGAGGTCAAAAGAAACAGGCTTCACTACACTTTACTGCACTTTTACAAGCTTCAAGAAGTGTTAGAAAGTGCAGCTTTAACCACAAGTTTGTCAAGGTTGTCCTGTTTTTTTTTTTCAACTTTGAAACTTTGAATTCTAAGCACTGCTTTTAATGTTGTGGCATGGGCAACATTTTCACCTATATTGAATCAAGATCAGGACAATGGACAGTTATTTACAGTATATTACTTTGTTTTGCTTTGGACATTTTCACTTATGCAAATCTGGTCATGAAATTTAAAATGTGAATTCATAATAGTGCATTACTAGTTGTTAAACAACTAGTAACTTTTTTAAAAACTTTTTTAGCAGCCAGTACTCTGTTGTGGTACAGGAGGTTTTCTTCATTTATATAATACATAAATATTTAAATAGTAATTCCTTGTGTAGTGTCTTTCTGCTTTTTTCTTCTGGTTTGGTCCTGTTCTTGTTGAGTTCAGTTTAGTTTGATCTAAAGTTAGTGCAATGGAACATTATTTTGTAACTTTTTATTAAATAAAATATTCTGTGGATAACCTCCGAATATGCTGAGCAGACAGTTTGAATTTGTTTGAACCAAAATGTGCTCAGATCATTCCTTCCTCTTGTGTCCTGACAGTGGTCTGTCTCCTGTGTGACAGTGGTCTGTCTCCTGTGTGACAGTGGTCTCTCTCCTGTGTGACAGTGGTCTGTCTCCTGTGTGACAGTGGTCTGTCTCCTGTGTGACAGTGGTCTGTGTGACAGTGGTCTCTCTCCTGTGTGACAGTGGTCTGTCTCCTGTGTGACAGTGGTCTGTCTCCTGTGTGACAGTGGTCTGTCTCCTGTGTGACAGTGGTCTGTCTCCTGTGTGACAGTGGTCTGTGTGTGCAGACAGTACAGTCTGATGACAGTGTGTGCAGAGGGTAAACACTACTGCAGAGAGAACACCATGTGTGTGAACACACCCGGCTCCTTCATGTGCATCTGCCACACTGGATACATCCGCATCGACGACTACTCCTGCACAGGTGAGACCAGGGCTGCCTTCTCTTTATACGGACACATGTGTAAAGTGTCATATTATGCAGTATCCACTTTTATGAGCTTCTGACACTGTTCTCTTATCATTAACTTCCTCATAGTATTTGTATTTATACTTGTTTGAGTAATCCAGTATTATTCTGCCTTTGAGGTTGAGTGCTCACTTTTCGTCCACTAACTTGCACGTAGTTCCAGGTATTCATAAAATTCAGACTCCTGTCATACATGTAGGAGTGAGGGAGGAGCCTGTTTTCAGCACACATGAGCTCCAGCAGCACATTGACATCAAAACTGTTCTTCACAACAAACAAACATATAGTATAGTAAAGTGTCAAACTAAGTACGTAAGTAACTCACGCGCACACCACTTTCATACTGGGTACTGTGGGTGAAGTGTCTTGCTTAAGGACACAACAGGAGTTTTTTGTGACTGGTGCCTCCTGTGGCTCCTGATTTTCCTAGTGGTGTCCATCCAATTACTAACCAGGCCCAGCCCTGCTGAACTTCTGAGTATTGTTGAGATGAGGTTTTGACGAGCCAGTATGACCACCAAATAATGAAGTAGGTTTGTTAACAGGAAAAACGGAATAATGTGTTTTAACCCAGCTGTTCTCTGATGACTCCTGTTGAGATTAGGAGACAGAGATTAGGAGTGTTGCCACTTTATACTCATCACTGATATTAATGTGCAATACACTTTTTTTCTTTTCTATTGGTTCACAAAGTGCTTAACTTTTTTCACTTACCATCTAGTTCATTAATGGATTCAAAGGGGCTGAAGTGTCTTGCCCAAGAACACAACAGCAACATTTTCGTGACTTATTTAGATTGTATAATTACCATACATTTTTCTCTTCGTTATTATAATAAAATGATCAATAAAGTTTGTCTAAGACTAAATCTAATATACAGAGAGAGTGAGGGCATTGAACCCACATCAGCCTGCAGTCCCTTATCCAGTGTTGGGAAGGTGACTTTTCAAATGGATTCCCCTACAGATTACAGATTACACACCCCAAAATGTAGTTTGTAACGGAATCCATTAAGTTACTTAAAGTGAGTAATGTAATCTGAATACTTTGGATTACTTGATTTGCTGTAGAGAAACAAAGACGAGGAAATCTTCACATAAGATGTTTTGTCTGCTAAAAGAAAATTAAAAGCCCAGACTTTATTGAACCAAATTAAAAATATTATTGATAGAAGATGAGGAGACATGGTCCGCACGGCATGGTTTAGTCCAGTTAAATCCTGGTTTAGACCTGGTTAGACCTGGTTAGACCTGGGTTTAGTCCTGGTTTAGACCTGGGTTTAGACCTGGTTTAGTCCTGGTTTAGACCTGGTTTTGTCCTGGTTTTGTCCTGTTCCTGTTTAGACCTGGTTTAGACCTGGTTTAGACCTGGGTTTAGTCTGGTTTAGCCTGGTTTAGACCTGGTTTAGTGGTTTAGTCCTGGTTTAGACCTGGTTTTGTCCTGGTTTTGTCCTGTTAAATCCTGGTTTAGACCTGGTTTAGACCTTGTTTAGTCCTGGTTTAGACCTGGGTTTAGTCCTGGTTTAGTCCTGGTTTAGACCTGGGTTTAGTCCTGGTTTAGTCCTGGTTTAGTCCTGGTTTAGTCCTGGTTTAGTGTCCGGTAATGAGTGAAATTACAGAGGGGGAAAAAAAAAAAGGGAATAGCCCAAAATGTGAAAACAGGAAAATACCTTCATGTAATCCATTTATTTCAACAAAGTAACTGTAATCCAATTACCACTCATTGAAACAGTAACTGTAACTGAATACAGTTACTCATAATTTGTACTCTGATTACGTAACTCCGGTAAATGTAATCTGTTACTCTCCCAACACTGCCCTTATCAGAATCCACACACGTCCAGCAGTTAAAATGTAAAAGAGAGCAGTTATCTCGTGTTGGTCTCCTCTTGACTTGACTGCTCTGGCTCTGGTCTGGCTCTGGTCTGGCTCTGGTCTGGCTCTGCTCTGGCTCTGCTCTGGCTCTGCTCTGGCTCTGCTCTGGCTCTGGCTCTGGTCTCAGCTCTCTGCGGCGTGAGCTGGCAGCCTGCACACAGTTCCTCATGGGTGGCTTGGTTAATATGCATTATTTGAGATGGCTGTCAGTGTGATTTGCGGTGATTAAAATGAAACGCACCCCTGCCCCGGTCGATCGCGCTCTCAGCTCTATCAGAGGAGCTGCTGCTGTCGGCCTGTTTACACTGGGCACATTAGCCAGCATATTTCTCACTGATGAATCCTTCTTTAAGAGTTTGGAGTTTGTTCCTCCTCTGCACTCGTGAATATTGTCGAAATATCATCTTTGTTATATGGACTTGTAATCATTACATTCAAACCTAGGCAATACTTCTACAGTGTTTACAGTATTGTCATTGTATAGCAGCAGTAGTTGGAGTAGTAGTAGTTGTTGTTGTAGTAGTTGTAGCAGTAGTAATAGATGTAATAGTAGTTGTAGAAATAGCAATAGCTGTAGTAGT